GTATCAAGTTAAGACCATGGTAACATTACAGAGAAAAAATATATAAGGATGAGCTAATGCAAATAAAAAGTGGTATTACATACATCTTTACACATTTTCATCGCATCATAGAAGATATCGTCATGCATATAAATATGGATAAACTCACACATGTAGTCACAACATAATAAACTAAATATGCATCATGATAAACAAGTTCCATAAAAAAATAACACTAGGTATATTTTAAGCCAAAATTTTATTTAGTTTATGTTCTGAATTGGGTGACGCAAAACATTTTACTACATTATTGCGTTTTGCATTCTCATAACTTTTGTTGTGGTTGTCTTCTTCTAATATTGCATTCTTGAAAAAAAGTGAGTTATTGAATTCTAAAATATCACTATAAGAAAAATCTTTGTTACTAACAGCTTAAAATCTATATGTAACTCGAAAATCTGTATGTAAAATAGTGTTATATATAAATTACATACTAATTTTTTCATATATAATTACATATGAAAAAATTTGTATGTAATTACTTATGAAATTCAAAGTTTACTTATATTAGTGGGAATATATATATATATATATATATCTATATATATATATATATATATATATATATATATATATAAAAGAAAGATTACACAACATAGACATTGAAGAACACTTAAACCTCAAACAAACATTTTACATTAAAACATAAATATTGTTTACATAATTGTTAATTATTTAAAAGTAGATTGTAATAGAGTCATACAAATAAGTTCTAAATATGTCTAATGCTAATAATCATGATAATCATTTTCATCTTGTGGTTGATCTTCTAGTTTAACATCATTGTGTGGTTGATTTTGTTCATTATTTTATGATTGAAAAAGTTGTTGTGCAACTGCGGTTGTTGGAGGTGGAAGGTATTGCATGATGACACCAATAAATCATTGAAAATGATAACTCATCTGTCAAAGTTGTTGATCATGACTTGTTAATTGCGTTTGGAGTTGAATAAAGTCCTCTATACTTGGTTGTTGACTATAATATGTCTGTGTCTGTTGTATGTAACCGTCGACATTATCATCTAGAGAAATAATATTTCCAATCCCATATATGTGTCCTTTGTACCTTCCACTCGTAGCCTCTAACCAACACTGGTTCCTTAATCTTTCCTCCTCTACAAGGTTTGGGGGACTAAGGATGTCGACAAGTTGTTGATGATGGATTCTTGGCTTACATATCTCATTTGTCGAGTAGTTTTGTTGTATCGGTCCATGAAAGCTTTCAAGGATTCGTCTTTCCATTGCTTTGTACTCACTAAAGCAAGGTGGGTCAAACTTTGAACCTTGTTGGTAGCATACTACCTACCGAACATGGTGCAGATGGTGGCAAAGCAGTCAATGGTACTAGGCGGTAAGGTGTTGAATCATGCCAATGTCTCTCCCTTCATGGATATGGAGAACGCTCGACATCATACGAGATCACTCAATGAGTAGAAAACCATGGTGTTAACGAACGAGAGGAGGTGTTTGTTAGGTTCTGCTGACCCGTCATACTTCTCGAAGGCGGGAGGCATAAACTTCTAGGACATTCACTACAAGAAAATACACTACAAGAAAAATCGTTATTACCTACAATCAAAATCCGTATATAAGCTCAAAAATCCATATGCAATGTAATGTTATATATGAACAAAAATCCGTATATAAAAGGAGCGTAGTTAAGTTACATACAAAAATATTCGTATATAAATTACATACAGATTTTACATACGGATAAATCCGTATATAATTACATATAGATTATTACATACGGATTTACATTCGTATGTAATGTGTTTTTAGCTTTATTAATACATGATTCCTATCAATGACCATCTAATTTATATTTCATTACAATTGTAATGACTTTCAAAGCATTTTCCATTAAAATATGACTATATAGTCACCTACAGATCATTACATATGAATTTAGATTCGTATGTAATGGAAATAATCTTTATATACAAATTTTCCGTATATAATTGTTGTATGTAATGTAAGTGGATAAAACCATACCTGTTGATAAATCCGTATATAGCATCCATATGTAAGTAGATAAAACCATACCTGTTGATATTACATACGGATTTAGAAAAAAACAATTAAAAATTAAATTGAAAAACGTCCTAAAACCTAAAACAAAAATTTCCCCTTCTCACTCTTGAAAAAAACTCGTTTTTCCCTCTTGCTCACAAAGAAGCTCACAGGTTGCCTTTTTCCCTCTCTCTCTTCAACTCTACCAATCACGAATTGATTTTCTCCCTCTTCCTCACGCAAGTGAGATCCGGTGTCGTAACGTCATTTTGATCGGGTTGCCATCAATAGTTAAGGGCAGTAGTCCCTTCGCCTACACCGGTTGGATTGAGGGGTTCCTCTGGTAGCGACGATACTCATCTCCTTTCTGGCCTTATTTGATCCCTCAATCTGAACGTTCTCCTTTGAGGGAGTAGGAATGATCGACACAAAGCGCTGGCCCGACTACTCCTGTTGACCGACATCGTGTTCAACCTTCAATGATGTTATCTCAACCTCATGTCTTCTCTGCATCTCTTGCATTTGTCTTTGCATCTACCTTATCAAATCCATAGGATCCTACTGATCACCCATGTTTCTCGTGGTCATCATTGAGTTTCTTTGTTTGTCCTCAGGCCCCACAGTGGACGCCAAAATGTTTCAGATGTAGGGTCAAGAATCACAATTAATACTCCTTTGCAGTTTTCTATCAATCTTCCAACGTCGTCTTAAGTCTCCGTTACAGGGTTATCCTTAGTCCTTCGTTTTTTATCTCCAAGCCGAGCGGGTATGTATCTATCAAAGGTTGTTCGAGGCTCAAGTTAGTTAAACGTGTTTGATCATTTATCACAGTAAAGTTTTAAAATCGCAATAAAAGCAATCACCTACCTTCTTACCTTACCTTTGCATTTATAGGTTTCGAAGTGAGCTTTTAATTAGAACTAGCTTAATCATGTGCCAAAAAGGCCCAAAAGTCAATAAGTATATTTTACTTGTAAATATGTTGAATTTGCAATGCTAACCTAACTTATAATGGGAGGATTCGTTCCTATCAATCATATAAGTTATGTCTTTTATTTTATATTAGTTTTGTATACAAATAATCTCATTTAACTCTCTTCACTTAAATCTTATTTTCTATGAGTAATGAATTTAATAGAGTTAGAATAATATATGCACTATACTATATAATATCATCCTTATTCTTAGAAATAGCCGTATCATATAAAATAAAACAATTATAACTATGTAGATTTATGACGTGAGATGGCTTTGACTCTACTCAACATCATACATAAAACCATAGTTAAACATTACCTTTTGTTTTTAGTTATGTTTTCTTATCTAGTCATCAAAGGATTTTCCTAAATACTTTAAGTTTGTCATTTAGTTAAACTTAATCTTAAACTTGTTTAACAAATCATTTACTCGTTTTGTGAAACACACATAAAGGTATGCTCACTTAGTGAGGCCTTTGTTTGCCCAATGAATCTTTCGTTATACTACTATTTATATTTCATTTAAACATCGTTGTCCAATGAAGGGTAGAGTCGCCTTGCAAATCAAACGACAAAATTCGCTTAACGAAAGAATTTCTCATGTCTTTATGAAATTTTGGTTAGTGAGGAATTCCCTAGTGAGTAAAGCCATCCAAGCTCACTGGATTTATAATTTTAATTCTCACCTAACGAGTTTACACTAAACCAACAATCCAACAAATGTATCAAATCAACCATTTGTCCAATCTAAGCACTCTTACGCAATTCTTAGTTCAAAAATAGAATACCCACAAGTTCCTCACGCTTTAGAGAGTCCAAGTCAATTGAAATGATACATTTCATACAAGTCAATCATCACATGGCACATTGACATCATAATTTTAACTTTATACAATTGAAATCAATACTAAAACATCAATTCAAACAAATAAGTACAATTATTAAATTAAATATTACTAATTTCCCTTCCTTAAAATAGAAAACCTATGTTTAAAACTGTTGTTTCTAAATGCTTTAGTACTCATAATATATTCTAACTAAAAAAACCCTAATTAAATATCTAAATATAATTTGATGATCACGTATAAACAAATATTGATTTTGAATCACATGTATTAAATAAGAAATCACACGCAACTCAAAACACTAAACGAACTTAAAAAATATGAACTTAATACATTTAATAAGTTGGATTTGTAAAACTCTATCATCTCTGAAAAAAAAAATACAGAGAGAAGAAGGAGAGAATTTTGGAAAAAAAATATAAAAAATGATGTTTTTTTTTTTATAAAAAAAACTCAATTAATAAAAATTATATTTATCATATAATATTTTAAATAACAGAATAACATCTTTTAAAAATCACTCATATCTTTTAGTATTTTTTAAGTCCTTTAAGATAACGTTATATAAAAAAAATTAACTGAAGAAAATTAACTGACTGTAAAAAAATACAAAAAAAAATATTTTTTTATTAACATAAAATTCAACAAAAAAAATTTAATTGAAGAAAACAAATTGTAATTTCTAACATTTTTTTTATTTCACAATCTTGTTAAGATAAGTAAAAGAATTATTGAAATAAGTAAAGGAAAAAATGGTTGACAGATAAATTTCAATTGTTTTGTTTTTTAATTTGATTATGTTTTATTGTCTAAATAATTTCATGCTATGATGTATCTAAATTAGTAGTTATTTATGGAATAAAATCACTCATACAAACTATCAAAACAATTCCAGTGCAACCATTCAAAAGGGAAGTTTTTTGTTTAAATAATCACATTAGTGTCATGGATAAATCTTTTGCTTTGTTTAAAAACATTTTTAGTTTCAGATTTTGAATATAGTTTTCAAAAGCTAACAATAATCAGAAAACAAAAGTGACAAGTTGAACAAACACCAAACACATTGTGTCGGTGTTACGATATTCTTATTTTCCACAATTGTGTGTGTTTTTATTTATAATACTTTGTTTTGCGCGATTTGGCTTCATTTTGGGGTTTGGCGCTTTTTCCCTGACGACTCTTTTAGATTCTGCCACTTCCTTCACGTCAACGGTTCGATTCCCTGCACCACTTTCCCCTTTTCAATTTTTAAAACCTCGTTGCATTTTTTTCTCTTCTTCTTCTCTTTCATGTGATTTTTTCAACATTCTTCTTCTTTTTCTTCTTCTCCTTTTCTTCTTCTTCTTCTTCTTCTCCACAGTTTCACTTCCAATGGCCTCTCCTCCTTTTTCTTCCGCCGTTGTAAAGGTACTCCCTTTCTCTCTGTCGTTTCCCCTACGAGTGTCTTGTCGTTTTTATACCGACTTATGTCGTTTTGGGTTTTTTCAGGATGCAAAAGTGCTTATGGTTGGTGCTGGTGGAATTGGCTGCGAGCTTCTCAAGACTCTCGCGCTCTCCGGCTTCCCTGACATTCACATCGTTAGTTTTCTTCTCTATTTGGGTTTTTGAGATTATTTTAAGAAAAGGGTTTTTCAGTTATTTTGAAGGAAAGGGTCTTCAGTTATTTTTTTGGGGTTTGAGTTTTTTGGTGTTTTGTTTAGGGCTTTTGTGCTGTTGGGGTTTGGTTAAAGTTTCGAGTTTCGTGCGTTTCGTGAGATGGGTGCTTCAAATGTTTCGCGCCTTGGTTTTATTTAGGAGGTGTCCGTGAGCGCGAGGGGTTAGTGTTGTTTGGGCTGCCGTACTGTATTGAGGTTTGGGGTGGTGCAGTGTCGTGCTTAAAATCGCTTTGTTAGTTTTTGGTTTTGGGAGGGTTTTTGGTAGTTTGATTCCTTGCTCTTTCGTGTAGTTGGTGGCTGTTTGCTTCTCGTTACGAATTTCAATGTTTTGTTGAAGGAGGAAGAGTTTTTGAGTGTTGGGACCAGGTGGGTTGTTTGAGCAGGTTTTCATGCTTTTGAGTACGAACTGTATTCAGGGGAGAATGGAATGTTTCTTGTTGGGGCTGCTGTGTTGGAGCTTACGGTTTGTTGACCTGAATTGCTCTTTCGTAATTGTTGTTGAGGATGATGGATTTACGGTGGTGGTTGTGGATCTTGGTATTTATTTGGGAATTTTGAGTTTTAGTAATTATAGTTATGGCTAATAAGATCTTCGAGAATTGAACTTTAATTAAAATTAGTTTTTTTTGGAAGAGATGGTGTAGCTACTCAATGCTGAGGGTGATAGGTTAATGATAATGGTGGATCTGCTGAATGCTGGAGGCTGTTGTACTCAGAACGAGTATCTTCATAGTTACTACTGAATAGAATCCTGAGTGTGTTGTGACCTTTTGCCATACATGTTTTCATCTAGGACCATATCTTATTATTATAATTGTATATTTACTTGTGTATATATTTATTATCATAGTATAGTAATCAATAGTGGAGCTGCCCTACGGATGGATTCAAATAGCAAAGGGTTTTTCAACAGCCAGCCGTTGCGGCTGCAGTAATGGCTTTTCACTTGTTATAATGGCATAACAATGCTATGGGCTCAAAAAAGCCATTTTTACCCACTAAACAAGATTGTTTAGGTTTTTTTCCTGACAAATTTGTGATTTCTCCCCCATTTTTAACACATTTTTGGCTTCATCATAAGAAGATTTGAAACCCTTTTTGTTTACCATTCCACAAAATAGTTACCTTTGTTTTGGCATGTGTTCCTTCATACTGTAACATTTTTATGTATTCAGTTCTTTCTTTAGACTTCCCAGTTCACATCTAATTTTTACTATTTTGTTATGTTCATTTTTCTATTAACTTCATCATCCTTCACTTTTTGACTTCATTGCTATGTTCGTACTTTGTCTTGCTAAATAGCCACTATGTGGTACTTGCACTATTAAGTTGATTTCCTCTGATTCCCAATTGTGACTTTAGTCACTATTGTGGATACTAGGGTTGTGGTTGCAGCATGTGCCTTGCGTAGGTCCAACTGATTTAGTTGTACTAAATAATTGGTATATATGTCAACTGCAATGTGACTTTTTCTATTTGCCCACATGGTATTGACTTTATGACAGCACATCTCGATTGATGGTGATTTTGTGAAAAATGTAATTCATTATTTATCATGTCTTTAATTTTTTTAAATTTTTTTTCCTTTGATTATTTATATTTGTATTACAAATATGCAAGTTGCATTAATAAATAAGGCTTAAATATGTTTTTAGTCCATGTAAAATGAGTGAGTTTCTGATTGTTTTCTTTGTTTTTAGTCCCTCTAAAATTAAAAATCACTGCTTGTGATCCCTACTATTATATAACACTAGTTAACTGTATATGCATTAGACAAAAGGTTAAGTGACCATTCCAATTGACACATATTAGTGTTGTGAAATGGTGTCAACATGTGACACCTAAAAAAATCTTAATTTCCATTAAAGAACTGCTATTTATCTATCTGAAAATGATATTAGGGATTGACAATAGTAATTTGAAATTTTGGAGGGATGGAAATTGGAGAAAAATATTTCATAGGCAATAAAATCAAGATTCACATATTTTAGAAGGGCTAAAAATAATTATTTGAAATTTACAAAGATGAAAAACAAAGAAAAATATTTGTCGGACCAAAAGCAAAACATACTAATATATAGGGACTAAAAACATATTTAAGTCCATAGCCCCTCTTCATGTTATCCAATTATAGCATTTTCATAGTTTGTCACTATGTGTTGCTACCTAGATTGATAACTTTATTATTTATTATTGCAAGTTAGATTCTTACCTCGTGTAATCAATGTATCATTAATTGTGGGCAAATTTTGTCACGTCCAGTATTTTTACAATTATTTGTCATGGATAGACAACTTCTATTTAAAGTTTTGGAACCTGAAGAGCTGTTTAATATAAGCTTACTGGGCTGAAAACTATCTTAATATAGTTCAAGTGTGTAATTTCTCACCATCCTTTTTTCCCAAAATATCCATCCTACAATTGTTCCTTGTTGATTTTGTACAATGCCGCCCTTTCTACTAAATTGAGTTCCTGGATAAAGGTTTGACCATTAACATTGATTTTGCAGTCTTATTGTCAGCAATCAGTCAACCCATGAATTCTTGCCTAATGTACTAGGAGTTGATATTATGTGTGTGTGCACGTGCTCACTAGTCATTTTTGTCTCTCTTGATCTAACTGTATTGTTTTAAGCTATGGATATGCTTTAACAAATTTTCGTAATTTATTTCTAACGTGCAGATTGACATGGACACAATAGAAGTCAGTAACCTGAATAGACAATTTTTATTTCGAAAATCTCATGTCGGGCAATCTAAAGCTAAAGTAAGTTTGAACTGTTATGGTTATTATTGTTAATGGTATAGGTTTCAGTTGTGCATTCATCTAATGAAGTGTTCAATCAGGTTGCTAGGGATGCTGTGTTAAAATTTAGGCCCCACATAAACATTACTCCATACCATGCAAATGTCAAAGATCCTGAATTCAATGTGGACTTCTTTAAGCAATTTAACGTTGTTCTAAATGGACTTGACAATCTAGATGCACGCCGGCATGTGAATCGCTTGTGCCTGGCAGCTAATGTTCCATTGGTTGAAAGTGGAACTACTGGGTTCCTTGGACAGGTAATTTAATTGCATTTATTGGTTGAGTAAGTGATATCCATTTTAAGTTGGATGCTCTTTTAGCATTACTTAGTAGATTACAAGTGGTAATTTTTTGTGTTTGATAGTTATTTTTGTATAAGTGTATCTATGTGTGTGTGTGTGTGTGTGTATATATATATATATATATTTTTTTTTTTTTTTCTTTTAAATTATCGATTATCTGACTTATGAAAATGGGTTATTATTAGGGACTATCAACAGTGTTCCTAGGTAAGCTAATTTCTTATGGGAAAACATGTTTTATGTGCATGCTTTTATGTTTCAACATGTAGATACCGTTAGATCTTTAATTTCTGTCATGAGATTATCCAGTAAAAGGTTCGTCCTCTATTTCAATTCTTAAAATTTGTAATTTATAATTGTGTGTGAAGTTTTAGGTTTGATATTTAATACTTGCCGTTTCTTTTGCTAATTTTGTTACCCCATCTGTCTAAGGACTTTCATGGAAACATGTATCTGACATTCTGTATTGCCAACTTTTACATGATGTCAATTTAATGCGATTGTGTTGTTAATTACTGCAATATATCAAGTTGCTGTTTCTCAATCAAATTTATGATTTAGTTTTAATTGAAAGTAGGTAACTATACATGTCAAGGGAAGAACAGAGTGCTATGAGTGTCAGCCTAAACCAGCACCCAAGACATATCCTGTCTGTACTATCACAAGTACCCCATCAAAGGTATGGTTTATTGTCATTTTTCATTAGGGTTACACTGGTGAGATTGTCCATTAAAGTTATATTGAGTTATAGGCCTTCAAACATGTAGTCTATGACTGTTTACAATGTTTTAGGTCATATTACTGGTCATATATTGATTGTGTTTGGTTAGTCACGTCTTTTGTATCTTGGGACATAGAAAATATAAAACTATAGAGCCGGGGTAATTCATAGAAATTTTAGGTTGTTCACGATTATTTGGATTTTCAATTAATGGGATATTTATGTTGCATTGTTGAATCTTGAAGGATGGTACTTGATAAATACCTTTTAGCATTATTGAAGGCTGTCATATTAGTTATATTTAGGAAAATAGATAAATTTTTTAAACTCAAGCTTTTGCCTTTCCTGTTTGCAAAATAAGTATGAATTTTGATGTTTGCTTCAAATTTCTGTCTATTGAGTTCTAAGCTTTTATCTCCCATTATTTATGGCAGTTTGTTCACTGTGTTGTGTGGGCAAAGGACCTACTTTTTGCCAAGTTATTTGGGGATAAGAATCAGGGAAATGACTTGAATGTTCGATCTAGTGATGGTGCTAGCTCTTCAGAAAATGTAGAGGATGTATTTGAACGTAGGAAAGATGAAGACATTGATCAATATGGAAGGAAAATTTTCGACCATGTATTTGGGTATAACATTGAATTAGCCTTGTCTAATGATGAGACATGGAAAAATCGTAATAGACCAAAGCCTATATACAGCAAGGATGTTCTGTCTGATGAACTGGCTCAACAAAATGGAAATTTGGAGAAAAATAATGCGTGTGATGATGAATTATCAGTATCTGCCATGACATCTTTGGGTATGAAGAATCCACAGGATATTTGGAGTCTCAAAGAAAACTCGAAAATATTTCTTGAAGCATTGCGGCTATTTTTTACAAAAAGGGAAAAGGTCTTTTGCGATACTTATTTGGACTTATTATATTTTAATATTATCTTTATGTCTGATACAACTTTGTTTTTATTTTTAAATTCATCTTTGAGCAGGAGATTGGCAATCTAGGATTTGATAAAGATGATCAGTTGGCTGTTGAATTTGTTACTGCAGCTGCAAACATACGGGCTGCTTCCTTTGGCATCCCTCTGCACAGCCTTTTTGAAGCTAAAGGTATTGCTGGTAATATTGTGCATGCTGTTGCGACTACAAATGCTGTTATTGCTGGGTTGATTGTCATTGAAGCAATCAAGGTGCTGCAAAATGACATTGAAAGTTGTAGGTATGATGTGATTCCACTTCCTGTGTATTCTGTTTTAAATTATTTGTAGTGATGTGAAAGTGGCTTTGTTACCTTAATGTCTGGGTTTGAGGAAACATTGTGAAACGTCATTTTAAGCAAAAACTACCTTGGCACAAAATGCTACCTACTGGCTATTGACAATTTTTTTACAGTGCAATGGATAATCATGTTGCTGGTGCTAGGTTGTAGAGCTTACACCCATATTTCATTTTGAATGCTTGATAACTATCATTATAGTTCGTTAAATATTAAATCAGTATAGTTTATCGTAACTGAATAACATTCTGATTTTATAAGATTGCTTGGGGCTTGTTTGGTTGTTTAAAGGTTTAAAAGAAAGTTAGTTTTGTGTCTTTGTTTGAGAAAAGTGATACTGGTTTCTTTACTAGGTTTTTTCATTTTTTTAAATACATAATTACTATAAATTTATAAACCATTGGTTATAGTTGAGAAAGCATTTTTCTGCAGAAAAGGCTAAAAAAAAGTCCCCTTAATCATGACTTAAGAGGGTACAGACAGTACTTTTTGTGTCTTTTTTCATGCGAGCAAAATGCATGGATCTTTAGGGGAAATTTTGTCCCTATATTGCTGAGCGTTTTTGTCCTGACCTCATTTTTCTGTATCTTATATCTTTTATTTATTGTAGATTCTGTTTGAAGGTTGTCTTATCCTTCCTGTTCTTTCCTTGGTGCTCATTGCTTCTCTAAGTAATTCTTGATTAATGTACTACTTTGTAGTTTACAATTCAACTTTACTGTTTTTAATGTTTTTTCTAATCTTTTCTGGACGTCTCAGAATGACATATTGTCTGGAACATCCGTCAAGAAACATGCTGCTTATGCCAGTGGAGCCATTTGAACCTAACAAGTCTTGTTATGTTTGTTCTGAGGTTTGCTGAATCTCCCTTTGTTATGTATTATGCCTGTAGTCATTGTTAAAAACATGCTCACTCAATAAATTTTTATGTGCAAAGCAGACACCTTTATCCCTTGAAATAAACACCAACCGTTCAAAGTTGAAAGACTTTGTCGAAAAAATTGTTAAGGCAAAACTAGGGATGAACCTTCCTCTTATTATGTGTGCTTCAAACCTCCTTTATGAAGCTGGTGATGTTGAGGACGACATGATTGCCATTTATGAGGCTAACCTTGAAAAGGTATATTTGTTGTCTTTGATTTGGAAAAATATATGATCGTGATTGTTTCAAAGCCTGTTTCCTATCACTTTCAGGTCCTGGCTGAGCTTCCTTCTCCAGTAACTGGTGGAACAATGCTTACGGTGGAGGATATGCAACAGGAATTTGTTTGCAGTATTAACATCAAACACAGGTTTTTATTTGACCCTGGTTTTTTGTTCTGCGAGAATAGTATTTGTTCCCATCTCCACGAATCCTTCTATCTTTTCTGCTTGTTTTAAAGTAATTTCTTTCCTGAGTGATTTTCAGAGAGGAGTTTGATGAAGAAAAAGAACCTGATGGGATGGTTCTCTCAGGATGGACTCAACCAGTGTCAGCAACAGAAAATAAAGACAAATCTGTTGGCAATGGTGCAAGCACCTCAGATGCAGTAGTAACAGCTGTGGAATCTGAAAAGGATGAAGAAATAACTATAGTTTCAACCTTGAAGAAGCGAAAGCTTCCAGATGAGACTGACATTTCAAGTGCCACTGAAGCAAAACATCAAAAGCAGTTGGAAGTAATTGATGACGAAGACGATCTTGTCATGCTTGATGGTGATTTAGACAGCTTTAAAAAGAGAAGATTCTCATAGTCAATTCATGGACTAAAATCAGCATGAATTCTTGCATCCTAATTTTGTATTTATAGGGAGGTTTGGCGATTCTTTTGGCCATAATAGTTGTTAGGAATGTTGCTATTAGTCTTTTGCTTGACATAGATACTGTTTTTCTCCCTTGTGCTTTCTCAGTAGCCGCAACATGTATTATTCTCCCTGACGCCTGACAGAGAGGATCATTGACCTCATAAATTAACTCTCTCACACATGACATTAGTGATGATCAACAGTTTTGCAAACTGATTAGCTATTCAATTATTGTCATGTATACTATATTCTAGATTTGAAATGTGATTTGTCTTTTATCTGTTGAATTTGTCATCGTTTCTTAAGCCTAAGGGAGAGCTTTTGTTTGAGAATGGAAGTCTCTAATTGCTTAATGATGCCATGTGCATAAGATTCATTACAATTCTGATACAGATAATAAAGTGGGAAATATGAGGCTATGTCTAATGTTGGTGTGACACATCAAACGTGTGCATCCAAATGTTGAACTAAGGTAGCAATTACATAATATGATGCAAAGAAGAGCAAATTATGAAGTGGGAATGTGACTAATGCGATGCATGGCGAGGTCGTTCACTCCACAGTAGAAGCAATAAAAAAATGTTGTTTCTTTTTATATTGCAGAATGTATTGAAAATTTGATACGGCAAGAAGGTATAATGCTTTACCAAAATGTTTCTCACTTTCACACTAACCAAAATGATATTTGATGCAATGAGTACCCTTCTGCATGGATTGTCAGAAAGTTTGAGCAGTTACCATGTGTCAGAATTGTAATTCTTTACTTGATCTTTATGTTTGGGTAAATTAAGTCAGTGCTTACCACTGAATGATTGGTTTTTTAAAACTGAAGAAAAACTATTTTCATATCAATAATATTTGTATCCATAAGCTGTTTTTGAAGAATTTATTGAAACAAGTTAAAAATATAAGCTCTCAGTTACTTACACAAGTTGTAAATAAGATATTCTAAACGTATCATTAATTAACCAGATGAATACGTCATTGTTAAGAAAGGTGTCTCCCTTGAAGATTGATGCACAGGCGAAATTGAATCCTCTTGTCTGGAAAATTGAACCCAAGTTGGGAATATCTTGTCAAATTTTTACTCTATTGAGTGAGACCACTTCCAGCCAAACATAAAATGACATAGTATTTGGTCCTAAAAATATGGATTGTGTTTTGAACCCCTGAAATCCGCACCTATCATTTTCTTTCAATCATTCAATATGCTACCATTTACGGTAGGGAAATTTAGTAAAGCTATTATGCGCTCCTATCTTAGAAATCCTTATTTTAGTACTTTGCTAACAACCACTCAGTACTTGCATGCTTCTTTTGGTAAGATTCCAATACATCTCATTTGGGTTAAATTTTTTGATAGACTCTAATAATTTTATTTTTAAAATTTTAATTGGATTCCTGAGAAAGAAATCATAAGTGGGGTCTCAGGGACCCGAATGGAATTGTTTTAAAACTTCAAAAGATTGAATTATAAGATAAGAAAAAGGTTATACATTGACGATGCAAACTACTTTTATCCTGTCATTCAATCGCAGACCATCATTTATGATAAATTTGTTTGCTTTTACAATGATTAGATGATTGCAGAGTTGTCTTCAATTATTAATGTGAGAACACTAAAATCTTGTCAGATTTAAACTATAGTGAACTATTTAATTTCTCAGAAAGCATGTGGAGCAACACAGTAATGTAACCAAAACGAAGTGATGGACCTCGGATGAAGATAGATGGAACAATTATTGGTTCTGCTCTTTAATTTACAAACAAAACTAGATAAAATAATTGTCATTTCTTCTTAGACATGACACCATAATTTTGACAGTGACAATTAATTTACAATGGTTGTCTTATGGTCTTCCTGTTTTGAATCAAAATCTACTGTGGATCAGATATTAGAATTAGTTTGAAACAAAGAGGAGCATTTAGCATCTGCAACATTGTAGTAGAATTTGTGGTATGCTATGCCTGATCGAATTCAATATTGGAATATTTTGTTGAGAAAAGATATCTTGTTGAAGCTAAATGTGTTGAATATTAAATATACATAGAGCTGATAACTACAAGGTAGAAAAAGGAGGTTGTTCTACTTTTATCACCAGATTCAGCTATGCTGTCTTTTTCCTATAATTTACATGTTTAATTTTCTGATAGAAAATAGTTTAAGGGATGATACTGTTTGTATCAGTACCTGTGTAAAAGAAGAGTTTTTAGGCACTGGTTTGATATTTATGTTGTGCCATTACATCTCCTATCTCAGTCAAGATAACTATTTTTTGAAATTAAGAGAAAATGACAAATAGATGGAAAGATATACCTTTAAAAGGGAACATATATATCGTAATAAAATCTGATATGGCCAAATGAGAAATTTTTGTAAAATGACTCAGAAACTCTCCTGGAAAATTGGTCCATTACACAAAAATTTCAAGTCAACTTCACTACCCGCAGTAGCCAGTTTCTTTGAACATGCTTCTACAATTACCTCCCCTACAAGTTACATATCAATATACAACAATTCATTTATATAATACCATACATGATTAATGGTACTGCAGAATGCATGTGTTCTCACAAGCCAACAAGTTAATCACATTACACATCTGATACACTCTTTTGCTGTCATGCAAAATAATACCCCACACACAATACAAGAGGACAAGAGAACCTACTCGAGAAACAACACACAATTACACAGGAATTTTTTGGTCCAAGTCTTCACGAAGTTACTATAACGTCTCCTAGAGATGAGTGGCAGTCCAGTTGGAGGTTCCATTCATGAAAAAATTAGCCTTTCACCTGCCATTGAGATTGTTAAACTGAGCAAACATTGCAGTTCCAGAATGGTCATCAATAGAATGCACTTCTGGTGTAGCATTATTCACTTCTGCACGTGGCACTGCCGCCGCCGGTGCTGCTGGTGCTGCTGGCGCCGGCGGCTGGGTCGGAGTGTCATCAGTAGGAGTGGCAGGTGCTTGTGGGAGAGGTGAAGTAGGAGCCTCCTCAGGCTTTCCTTGTGTGAATGCCTCTTGAAGCTGCAAAGCATACTCCAAGTTCCACAAAACATCTCCCATTGAAGGCCTATCCACTCCATGATCAGCCAAACACTTCTCAGCAGCCTCAGCAAACTTCTTCATAGATTCAGGATTGATTGATCCAATCAGTTGAGGGTCTATGATCTTGTCAAGCAAGCCCTTTCTCTTCCACTGCATCGCCCAATCGGCCAAGTTTACTTGTTCACGGGGCAACTGAGGGTTGATGGCTGGCCTTGCACACAGTGCCTCAAGCAGAACCACCCCAAAGGAGTAGACATCAGATTTTTCTGTGAGTTGCTGTCTTCTGAAGTACTCAGGGTCAAGATAACCAAAGCTACCCTTCACTGCAGTGCTAACATGTCCCTGCCCCATTGGTGCATCCTTGGAAAGTCCAAAATCAGAAACCTTGGCTGTCAAATTCTCATCAAGCAAGATGTTGGTGGTCTTGACATCACGGTGAATGATGCCTTGAGCTGTGCCTGTGTGAAGGTAGTGAAGGCCACGAGCTGAACCGATGCAGATCTCTAGCCTTTGCTTCCATGAGAGAGGAGGCATGTTCTTTCCATAAAGATGGTCTCTGAAGTGTCCATTGGGCATGTACTCATAAACCAGGATCATCTCATCATTCTCATCACAGTATCCAATCAAGGACACCAAGTGCCTGTGCCTGAGCTTCGACAACATTTGGATTTCTGTCTGGAATTCGTTGATGCCTTGCTCTGATTGAGGGTTTCCTCTCTTGACTGCCACTTGAGTCCCCTCATCTATCACACCCAAATACACATTGCCAAATCCACCAACACCAATGATGTTCTTTGAGTCAAAGTTCTTGGTTGCTTCCTGAAGTTCAGCGAAGGAGAAGTACCGGCCTAGTCCCATTGATGAGGAGAAAAAGTTGCTCTTTCCCATAGAGTTCTTGCTGCTCATGAAGCTTGTGTCACCAGCATGCAGAGGCAGCAACCATGAAGAGAAGCTGTTCCTCTTCTGCCAGTCTTGAGGCCTCTTGTGCCACTTGATCACCATAGCTCCGAGCCCGACGAAGGCTCCAAACATCATGGCAAATCCAACTGCAGCCACCGTGCCGCGGCTAGAACCACTAACACTTCTTCCATCAACCCCAAATTCTCCATCCAAACTGTTCACAGTGTTGCTCATCTTCATGACCTCTATGCCGTTCACAAGGGCATTGGCACTTGCACTACCACCAGAGGTTGGACCAACCTGAATTGATAGTCCCTCGGTCATCAATGTTGCATTCACCACAATGTCCTTGTAATATGGGGTTGACAAGGCACCCGTGGTGGCTGACAAATCAAAGTTAGAGATTGCCATTTTCCCATTAACATACACATTAAAGTAGAGTTGATTGAGCCCTTTGCTAACAATATCACAGAAGTGAAGCCTAACAAGGTAGCTAAAAGAAGTGTCCACATCAAATTTCCACGAGACGTTGAAATTTGGCTGGTTAACACCAGCATCAGCCATCTCAGTGGCAGAAGCATACACAGTTTGTGGAGCTGTCAGAGAGGAGATTGCAGGATTGTGTTGGGGGAATTTAACCACATTGGTAGCCACCGAGACACTCTTGGCCAAGTTCTTGTTTGTGAGGAAACTCTCATCAGGATCCCAAGTCCTCCCAAGGGTATCATTCGATGAGGTGATGAGAGGCCCTCCATTGTTGACCCTGAAAACAGGCTGCAAGCCATAGGATGTGATGCCGGAGAACTCCTCAACAGGGAAAAGGCTGGTGGCGGTGTCGAAGATAAGTTCATCAGGAGCGGAAACAACCTCAATGGCATTGATGAATGCGGCTGAGTTCTTCAAGGGGATGAAGGAAATGGAGAACTGAGGCTCAGTTGCATTGATGAGGTACTCCTTGAGGATTGGCTTGTCAGTGTTGTTGACATTGAAACTGTGGAGAAGCACGTAGGTATCGGTGTAGACAGAGAAAGTGGCCTTCTGGAGATCAAAGACACTGTTCTTGACGGGGTAGAAATGAAGGCGAACCCAGTGAAAACCTGGCTGGACCAAATGGAAGGAGTATATAGCTTCCTGGATGAAGATCCTTGCACTCTTGTATATAGGTGAAGAAAAATTTGCATCTTCTGCATTGACTTTGTACTCATCATTGGCTTTCAAGAAAGAAGTAGCTTGAGGGTCTGTTTTGAAATGTCGTCCATCAGGGAGGGTGGAAACACTGTCTGCTCCACAATCGATCAAGAAATTGTCTTTTGGTTGGAAGATTTCTGAGGGAG